TGTGACATAACTTTTGAGCTAATATAGCTTTTCATTATGTGACATAACTTTTAATTTTGAAAATACATCAATATTATCCTTTCCTCAAAAGGCAAACTTGATGAAGTATGTAGTGCCATTGCTTATTATAAGCCACCTAAGAACTCTTTTACCTATCTAATGTGAAATTTTAAAAACACTTTATCTATTTTCTTTGTTAAGCGCTAGACGTGACACTAAAAATAAACTAAATTATTACATTTTATGAATAATTTTACCAACAATATATTCACAATTTTATCAAATACATCAAATATCAACATTTTTATTACAATTATAAACTATCAATGAATTTATATTTAAGTGCCCATGAGTATGTATTATTAACATAAATTTCCACTTTGGAAAGCTCCTTTTCTCATATTCACAAAGCCAAAAAAGTCCTTTCCTTTTGATAAAGTGGCCTCCACTCGCCACAAGGCCTTTGCCTTTGATACTTTAATACTTTACTTTTCTTTATAAGTTTTTTTTTTTCATTTTTTTCCTAGGGATACGCCCTAAAAATTATCACCTTTTTCAAATGGAAAAAATGTAAACAAGTACTAATGCATGGCTTTAATCTTTTTAATAAAGCAATTCTTTACACATTTTTTGACATTTAAAGTTCCCTTTTTTATTTTCTTTTTTTTTGAATTTATATACTATTAAACTTATAAAATTGCAATATATAATATGTAATACAAACTTGTTCTCTTTTTTTTTTTTTAATCCCATCTTTTTCTTTTTAGATATTCTGGAATGATGTCATTTTTCTTATTTAGGTATGTAACTCTCTTACTTTTTCCATATTATAAATTTATTTTTCATAATTTTTTAAAATTTTTACATTAAAAAATTTGAACATTTGTATTATAAAATTTTTTTAAAATTTTAATATAAAATACACCAAATCAAAACCTTTTGTTTTAATTTTCGTAAAAATCAAATAAAGATAAAAATATCAAACGAGGAGTATAAAATAGAGAGAAAATACCAAAATCTCATATTAAAAAAATTAAAATATATACTTAAGGTGAAATTTTCAACTTTAACCTTATAAATCAGCTTTGATAATTCAATTATTCACTCACTTTTTTCTCCCCATTTTCTAACTTTTCCTAGTAAAGAAGGAAAAGTTGCCATACACGTGGGAAGCACGTGAGCACTTGACATTGGCTGAACCGGGTCGGTCCGCTTTCAAACCCGAAACCTTCCTGGATATAATGGGCCGGCCGCCCTGTCCGCAACAACGAGTGCTGTTGCTTCTAGTTCCAAAACGATCGGAAACAGAGAAGAACAATGTCGGATTTTCCCTTCGAACGACCTTCATCTTCTCCTCTGTTCGGAGGATTCTCAAGCAGCGGTACCACCTCTGCCTCGGGCTTCTCGTCTCTGTTCAGTTCCAGTCCTTCCATCTTCAGTTTCCCTTCCGTCGGTGTAAATTCAGGTTCATAACTTTATGTCATGTGTTTAGTCTAGATTGTCTGCTATTGATCAAAAACCCGATTAAAGTAGTTGCATCACGTGTCTAGCTTTAATGGGATTAACCAAAAACCCCTTTAAATTGGAACAAAAATGGAAAAAAAAATTCATGAAGCTTAAAAGATTTGGTTTTTAGTTAGTGAAAAGTGTTTAGCAAATGGGGAATAACAAAGGTGCTAATGCTGTAGAATTGCTTTTAGATAATGCTGCTGTCTCTTGTCTGTGTTGTAGGTAACCATGCTTCAACCGGTTCTTCCCTCTTCGGTGCAAATTCAGGCTCATAGTTTTTTCTTTTTTTAAAAAAAAAAAAACCCATGGGTTAGCTTCATTTTGAGGAAAGGATTCTTATTACTTTTCTTTTAATTATTCAAAATTTGCTTCATAATGTAACTAAAATGGTTAATGTGTTATAGCATGTGGTTAAAATGAGTAGGCGTTTGTTTGTTTTGACTTCTACAGCAAGGGGATTTCCATAGAAAGTAATTTTGTCGAAACTAAAAGTGGGAAGTTAAGTCTTAGCCTTTCTTAGAAAGTAAAATGTTTTAATTTTGACGATACATTTGAAAAGCTTTAATTAAATAGCACTTTGTTTTTATAAAAAAATCCAAGATAGATAGATTCTTTATTCTGAACAGAAATCTTTTGTCTCTATTTAGTGTCTCGTATGGTGTCTCTTTTCAAAATTTTGCCTGTTATTAATCAAAAACCCATTTACAATAGTCGCGTCACGCATCTGGATTTTAGGATATTAACCAAAAACCCATTTAAAGTGAAAAACAAATAGAAAATAAATTCATGAAGCTTAAAGGTTTAGTTTTGGTTGCTGCAAAGTGTTTAGCAAATAGGGAATAACAAAAGTGTTAATGATGTAGGATTGTTTCTAGCTAATGCCGTCTGTGTTGTAGGTAACCATGCTTCAAGTAATGCTGCTTCGGCAACTTCAACTTTCAGTGCCACTATTGGCCAAACATCACCAAGTAGTTGGTACTTATAGGTTCCTTCTTGTTGCTAACTTAATAGTGCATTTTATAACTCTTTGCTGTATTTAAAATCGCTCTTTTCCAATTTATGTGAATGTTAAACTCTGATGCCTTTGTTTCTTCAATTTTTCTGTCAATAAATCCATAGTTATCATGAGTTTCTTATTTACAAAACCCATCTTCTGCCTACTCATTTTCATCACTTTACCCAATATTTACTCTATATAATTCTTGCAAGCTGGTAAGTTTATTGTTGCTCTTAGGTTTGTCATTTGTTTTCTATGTTCTGCTGTATTATAGCATACTTTGTGGGGTTTCCCGCTTTGACATTGGCTAATGAAAATTTTGTCATCTGGAAAAGGAAAATGAAAAACTGAAGTTATTTGGATATGACTCATTAGTGGCAATATGGAGAAGGCTAAAACTCTGTTGTAGAGGGTGCCTCTTTGGTCGTGGAGTTTGTTGGGAGAGACGATTGTATTGCTTTCAAGCATTAATTAAAATGGTCTGTCTTTTATAACTTTGATAATTTTTAAGCCGGGAGCTATATCTCAGCTGCTATCCCGTGCACTTTATAGCTTCCATAAAAGTGTGCAAAATATTCGCACTAACTGTATAACATCCTCCTTGATTTCGGTCTCATGACCTTTTTCTTTCTCTGCTTGTATCAGGACAAATTCAACTGCACCTACTTCAAAGAACAAGGTAATTAGGTTTTCTGAAAATTTTTGTGACATAATATCCTTCTCATTTCTGTCGTTGTTAATCTTGTTTCAACCTGCTTCTACCTCTATTGGCAATTATAGTAATCATGCTATATAGTAAGGGCTTAGTTAATTTCTTTTAACAAACCAGCAGCTAGCAAGTTGAAAATAAGCAGTCGAGTGCCAAACGGGCAGGTTTGGTCAAGTCATTTTGGGTTTGGATGACGGGTTCATGTCGCTTCCGATTTGGATCATTTCGGGATTGGACTGGGTTTAGTTTGAGTTAGAAGGAAACTGATAATTAAATTTTTCATTTTTAGTGTTAAGTTTAGGGTATTATGGTTTTGGATCAGATTGGTCTCGGATTTGAATTTTTAAGGTTCAGGTCTTTGACTCTCTGGTCAAGTCAAGTTTGGTCAGGTTGGAGTTCAAGGTTTTTTGGGCGGGTTTTTTGGTTCGGGTTCATTTCTCCACCTCTACTAAGCAGTTTACGGTTGATGAAGTAACTTCATAAAGTTTAAACCTTGTGGGACGAAATAAAAATTACACTTCCTGTTGTGAAGACACTTATTTTTCAAATGCCCAGCTAAAAGTTGTTTTTCCCATAGTTTTCTTGTTTTTGTGTCTTTAAACATTGATTGAAAAACTATATCATTCAAAAACTCCTTTATAAATTTGAAATTCTGCTAAAATAGCTCTTTTTTTTGGGTACGCTGATGTGTAATCTCAACCTCTTTTTGGCCACGTCGTATATGTGGCAACTGAATTGAGGATATCTTAGCTCCTGAAAGAAGAAAAAGAATCAAATGAGCCTGAGGCAGTTTCCTTTTTCTGAATCGGGGTGGGGGAAGTATATATAAGAGTATTCTCTAAATTGCTGGATATTGAAGTCTGTGTCTTTCTGTGTGCTATCCCCAGCCACATGCAAATGTCAACAAAGCAATGTCTGGCTTAAAGGATACGGAGGATGATTTGAAAAGGAAAATAAGTTTCTTAAGCGGATTTGTTGTGGCATTCAAAGAACAAACCCACACTGATATACAGCTTAAGCCTAACAATGGGCCCTGCATACCTGCACACAAAGCTTTACTGGTAACACTCCTTAGCTGTGTTTGTATTTGTTTCTGTTTGAACATTGATTACACTCACACATTTACCTATTGTGTAGGCTGCAAGATCTGAAATCTTTAAGAATATGCTGGACTCAGATGGCTGCAAGGCTCCACCAAGTGATACTGATACCATCACTCTGTCTGAGTTAAACACCGAAGAGCTTGAGTCTCTCCTAGAGTTTCTTTATACTGGGGACTTGCCCTTAGATAAGTTGGAGAAGCATGTTTACTCTCTATATGTTGCAGCTGATAAGTATGAGATTCCATACTTACAAGAGTCCTGTGAGCGTTACATGCTGAATTCCTTGAATGCGTCGAATGCTATTGACATTTTAGAGATCGCAGATGCTCAGTCAAACAAGACACTGAAGGAAACTACTTTGAGCTTCATTATCAGAAACATGAAGGATATAGTGTCCACGACAAAGTATGAAGTGTTCGCTTCCAGTAACCCGCTTCTTTGCGTGCAGATTACAAGGGCGTTTGTTGATGCGAAAAGCAACTTGAGTTAGCTAGATGAATCTGACTATACCAATGATGGAAGAAATGGGGTTTTAGGAGTAAAAAAGTTTGGGATGCTGATGCAATGCAACCAATGGTTAGTTAATATGCAAAGATCATTGTAAATATGACTGTTTAGAACAAATTTGTCCTTTGAATGAATCACTACAACTAGTCCTTGTGTGAATAGATCAGAATATTGTGGTTTGTTTTGCTTTTATCTGTTGGCTACTTCCTGCCTTGATTCATGTGTATATATACATACCGTTTGTATGTATGTATGTATGTAGATATTGCTCATATTCATATCAGATATGAGATAGAATGTCACGCCAATTTGCTGATGTCAGTTCTCTGACTCTCACCACCTTAACAATGCTGATCTAGCAACCTGACATATTAACTATTAATGTAAAGGAAGAACATTCGCGTTTCACGTTTGTTCACTTCTTCTCTTCTTTTGCCAGGAATCTAAACCAAATTAATATTATATGGATGATATGTAATTTTTTTTATGCTTCGATGCTGACACTGGTTGTACTGCCATTATTAGCTGTTCCCCTTTAATGGAGAATTGCCTAAGATTCTTATTCCATGACCTAGTTTGGATTGATAATTAAGAGATTAAAAGTTGAAGTCCCCACCTTTATATTCCCTTCATCCCTTAGCTTGCTTTATAAATAGACATGCAGAAACATGAAAAGTGAAACCAAAAAAGAAATCATTCCTTAACCACAAAGATTTAGAAGGGAACCTAAATAGCTCTCATGGCAGAAAGGGATGGAGTATGCCAGAAAGAACATAAGCCTCAGGAGGACAAGCCTGGGTACAACTCATCAGGTCTGTCTTGATTTTACCTTTTGTTTCATTTCTTTGGCTTTTTATGTTGGGTTATATGATGGAAAGATTAGTTTCCAACAGGAGAAAGGAAGACAAAATGTTGTCCAAGGACAACAAAGAAAGGGGAAGGAGGCTGCATGAATATGTTGTAAGTCTAACCTTTCTTCAATCTTCCTCACTAACCTTTAATTTATACTTCCTGCATCCTAAATTTGACTGTCAAATTTAATTTCATATTCAGCTGCAAGGCTTTGGGCTGCTGTGGACTCCTTTCAGCTTTCTATGGACCTAAGACATCTCAGACCCGATGAAAGAGGATTTGCACAAAGGCAATTACATCATCTGCTCTCCTCCATCTGTTGGTATTCAATGGTGTGAGAAAAGAACATCCCAACATTGCCTCTATTCTCTTTAACAAATTTATGTAACAAGGGAGACTACTTGGCATCTATATGAGCTAGTTTGTGTAATTACTTTATCTTCCATGGAAGACAATTAATATAATTCTTGGGTTTTGATGGCACAAAGAGTACATATTCTAATCCAAAAACTGATAGTTTCTGTAATAAAGGGACAACTTAGGAACTTCATTTTAAGTTTTGAAAGATTAGTGTGGATTATCGGATACGGCATGTTTGGTTGGGGGAATGGTCTCTATTTTCTAAAAAGCTCTTCCTCGTTATTTGGTTACTTTTTGGAAGAAGAATGACTATTTTTCAAAATCTTACAAAATCTTAGAATAGTTAAATATCATCTCTCCATAATATTAGCTATTCCACGTACATAGAAATAGAGTCCAAAATATTTTAGATTAAAATATCCTTATTTACTTTCAAAAATTACAAACATAGACTTATAAAATTAATAATTTAAATTAGAAAATTTAAAAATTATTAATATTTTAATATTTTAATTGTAATAATATTTAAATTATAAATAAAATATTAATGTTTAAATTATTAAGTGAAAATATAAATTAAAAAATGAAAATAGTGAAAAAAATAAAAAATAAAAAAATTATACTAATACTTTAATAAGAAATTATTAAATTACTAAAACTTTAAAGTTTTAATGAAAATAAAAAGTAAATGATTGAAAAAGAAAAAATTTACTTAATTTGGCCTTTTGTTATAATCTTTACTAAATTATACAAAGAGTATTTTTGTTTTTGATGAAAATAAATCTTATTATAATAAAGAGTTTAGGTTTTTAATTTTATAATATAAAATATAATATTTTAAATTTCAAAATTAATTAAAATTATTAAAATATTAATCATAATAATATTTAAATTATTAATATTTTATATAAATTACAAATTATTAATATTTAAAAAATAAAACATAATAAAAATAAATAATCATATATTATAAGAAAAGGTATTGTTCTCTTTTTGTCAATTTTTTTTATTATTTCAAAATTATTTTTATCAACTAAACATTACAATAAACCATAATAACAATTCTTACCTTGTTCTATTACGTCAATTAAATTATGTAATAATATTTTCATTTTATTCTTACCTTATTTTTTACTCACATAATATCTATTCTATTCTGTTCTATTTCACAAACTAAACGTGCCCTTAGTGTTTAATAACAATTCTAATGAATAAAGGAAATAGCAAAATATAAAAATGCCTTGCAAGTGGTGAGCAAAAGAGGCATCAAACTTTCACTTTTATCATTCTCTGAATTGACCCTTTTTGTTTCATTTCTATTTCAGGTACCCATAAAATGCTAGAGGAGTGGCAACCATTTGGCAGGAACTCATTTCTATTCCAGCATCACCAAGATGGAAGAATGTACAATAAGAAAGGGACATAGAGAAAGATCACAAAATTCTGTTAAAAGAGTTGCTACCTTTCCTGTTTTGTCAATGTCAGCTTCAAGTGTTTCTCATTCATGCAAATATGATACCAGTCTGTGTTGTTGGTGTGGGTCTGTTCTGGGTTCTCCTCAGGTGGAACCCATAACTCAAATCAATAATAATATATATATATATATATATTTCAACCAGAAAGGTTAACTTGTGTGGATGAGACTCAGAATTGTCCTTATACCGTATGGTCTCGAGAAGTGTCCCCAATCGCCTACTATGCTCTTGAAAGGACAGCACATTACTAATGGATCCCACCACACTCAGGTCACCCATCTTGGTAGTATTGTAGTCTTCACATAGCCTTCCTCCCTTGAAGACCCAAGGATTTCACAGGGATCAAACTTGTGACCTTAGCTTTGATAACATTTTAACTAGACAAAGTTAGCTTGATTAGATGAGACTTAGAATTGTTCTTATACCATTTGGTCTTGAGGTGTGTGTTCGATCCCTTATATATATATATATATATATGGAAGAAAACACCAAACTGAGACAAAGGAATTTTTGTTCCAAATTTGATTGATGCTTTGTTACTTTAAAAGTCATTTTTTGAAAATTTTCTACTATTTTTTAAATCCCATCCAAAGTTAAAGTTAAAACTTCCTTTGATATTTTTTAATTATTAATTATTTAAATTTAACTTTTGATAGGGAAAAACAAAAATAAAATCCATCCTGGACATAAAAATAAATATACTTTTGAATAATTAATAATAATATAAAAAAATATTTGGGTTAATTTTTGTAAGTTTTACAAATTTGGGTTTCAAAGCAATTAAAACCTAATAAAAAATGCTAGATTGTAACCAAATTGCCTTGCCTCATCTTCATCACCCATGAATCGCAAGAAGGCCATGTAAATGAACTTTAATGTAAATGAAGCACATTCATGTTTCACATTTGTTCACTTCTTTATTGTTTTCTTCCTCTTCTTTTGCCAAGAATCTAAACCAAATTAATGTAATGGATGATATGTATATTTTTTTTTTTATGCTTAGATGTTGACACTGATTTTACTGCCATTATTACCTGTTTCCCTTAATGGAGAATTACCTAAGAATCTTATTCCATGATCAAGCTTGGACTAATAATTAAGAGATTAAAAGTTAAAGTAGGCCAGCCCACCTTTGTATTCCCTTTCATCCATTACCTTGCTTATAAATACATTCAAAAACACGAAAAGGAGAACCCAAAAGAAACCATTCCTTCACAAAAAGATTTAGAGAAGAACCAAATTGCTCTTATGGAAGGAAAGCCAATTTTCCATGTTAAAGATAAGCCATCAGGTCTGTTTAGATTTCATTTTTTTGTTTCATTTTGGGTAATTTCTTTGGGCTTTTTAAGTTGGATTATATGATGGAAAAATTAGTTTCCAACAGGAGAAAGGAAGACAAAACTTTGTTCAAGTACAGCAAAGAAAAGGCAAGGAGGCTTCATTTGAGGCTCAGAGCAGAAAGGATTGCTTATGGCTACTTAGCAGGATGAGGCAGGGGCAATCAACAAAGCAACTTATGCCTATCAATTGCTGCAAATTTGTACAGTGCTGAAATTTCAGTAAAAAATAATAGTAAACTCCATGGCAATCACAGTTTTCCTCACAATGAGGCATCTTTATCTACAAAATATACAGAAAAATGCATAAATGCTCTTGCAACCTTTTATTTTATATATATTAAATATCATTTCCGATGCAAATTTAAACTAAAATATCATAGATTTCAGTCCCGACTTAATCTCATTGTTCTTTCCAAATTCGGCCGGCCACTTTCAGCTTCAGCTCCTGTCTATCACCGCCAGAGAAGAAGAGTGCCAGGTTTCTCTGAATGATTAGTCCGTCTTGACTATCTCGAACTTTCCTATGACTATCGCGGATGCTTCTAGGAACTCCTTGCCATATAAACTTTCTGCCATTGCCGCCAACTTCTAGACTGTAACTGAATTGCCTAGCCTCGTCTTCATCACCCATGAATCGCAGGAAGGCCATGTAAACTGGTGCCATTCCAATGTGGAAAGCCTCAAAGTGCAAACAAAATTGTCGACCAAAACAGTTGAAAACCTGCCGCGTATAGGACAATCATCAATGCCTTTTAAGTATTGATCAAACTGAATGGAGTTTCATGAATACATACTATACTACTCATTACTGGTAATATTCAAGATTTCTGATGTTCATATGTCATCAAAGAATTAATATAATTAATTAGATGAAAGTATCAAGTGATTTGCAAGGTTCAAGAATTAATGGATCAAAGAAGCAGAACATGTTAGAAGTGAAATAAAGAATGCAATCATTAAGGTTTGTTAGAAATCTCATTCCCAACATCTGTCACTACATTAATCATTTAAGAGTAGGATCAGAAAAGACACCTGCTTGAGATGATGTACAAAAGTTTGTGAACTTGTTGCAAGTATGTGTCTATCACAGAGAGAAGGATGGGGCGGGAGGGAAAGGGAAAGAAATCTTACAGTTAACATCCATGTAGCATTTTCCACTTCATGGGGATTGGATTTGACATATCTGTGGTTGAAAGTACACCCATCATGCATGTCAACCTTGTGATCATTCTTGAGATGCATGACAAGAAATGATATATTACCAGTGACACAGCAATCAGCTCCAGCATAAGGG